ACCTTTGTCAGAAGAGGCCCCTCACCTGAAGTGTTGTTAAACAATCCATTTAATGGTTAGGATGAAGCTCAACAAAAGGAAATGTTTCTCCTTGTTGAAATTTAAGCAATTTTTTCCTGTAGGATATAGTTGTGCATGTGTGTATGTATTTTACCAAATAAAATATTTTGATCAATACATTTTTGGGCTAAGGAATGCTTATATTTTTAGAGATAAAGTAATGATATATTGTTTTTATCATATGAAAAGCTACTGATTTGGGAATCCTAAAAATCATTTAGTTTATGTATCATTTTCCCTTCTACAAACTGTCACTTATACATTCAGGCAGATACAATGCCTTACACACAAACTAAGTGGCAGACCTGGGACTTTCTGGACTTCTAGTTCTTTCCACCACCCCTACATGCCTTCCTGGCTTATCACTTCAGGTATGATATGCTAAAAAGAGGAAATTTAGAACATTTCAATTTAATCTGTGCATCTGCTATAGGCATTCATTTTCTGCACACCATCTGCCCACACTGAACATGGGCTACACGGGCATGACCTGTTGGCAGCAGTGTTGGCTGGAGAGGAGCTTGATGTGTGTACAGCTCATACTTTTTGATGATGGGTTATTAAAGTGCCTCTTCTTTGAACTCTTTACAAAGGTTTAAGGGCTTTAAGGAAATAGAAAGACTTTGAACCTCTGTTAGAATTTGTTACTATAACAAATACCTGATGGCACAGGCCTATAATCTCAGCACTCTGGAGGCTAAGGCAAGAAGTTTCAAGTTTGATCCCAACTTGAGCAATTTAGTGAATTAGTGATACCCTCTCTTAAAAACAAGCAAATGATAAAAGACAACCTGAGGAGTTGATGGTATAGTTCAGTAAGAACACTGAGTTCAATCCCCAACATTCCCCCCAAAAAGCCCAAAATATAAAACGTCTGAGATAATCAACTTACAAAGAGGAAAGATTGATTTTGGCTCACAGATTGGAGGTCTGGGTCTGTGACAGATTGCCCTGTGATGAGGCCGCACATCATGACAGAAGCATATGACAAAGCTAAACTGCTTGCCTCATGGGTAGGTAGTGAAAAAAAGGAAGAAGGACCTAGGTACCCCAACCCCCTTCAAAACACAACTCCAATGACTTAACTTCCTCTCTCTAGCCTCCTCCTTTTTAAAAAAAGTTTCTGTTTTCATTTGTGCACATTTGCTGTGTGTAATGATTACAGTCACTGTGGGGAGTTGATCACATACACAATACATCTTAATTCCTTTTTCTTCCCCTCCATCTTGTGGTCCCCTGCCCATGTGCATAAGATCTGCTTCCCTGTTCCCATTATCTCTCTTTGATTTTGCTCTTTATTTATATTTTGGGTTTCTCATATAAAAGAAGCCATGTGGTATTTAAGGTTGTGTATCTGACGTATTTCACTTAACATTATGGTTTCAAGGTCCATCTATATTCCTAAAAATTATTCAAATTGATCTTTTATGGCAGAATAGTACCCCATTGTCACATTTTCTTTATCCATTCACCTGCTATTGGACATTTAGGCTGCTTCCAAGGCTGCTAGCAATTATGAGTTCTGTTTTTATAAACATGGGTATTCATGCATCACTGTAATGTCTTTAACTCTGTGAAGATACCTAGAAGGAGGATAGCTGAGTCAGATGAAATCTCTAGTGTTAGTCTTTTGAGGAATCCCTATACTGATTTCCATAATGGTTGTACTAGTTTACATTCCTATCATGGGATCTTTGGGGGACCTTAACATTTAAACTATAGCAGAGCCTAAGCTTTTAGCCTCTCCAGCATTTGTTATTATTTGATTTCTTGGTAACAGCCATAATTTCTGGAGTAAGGGAGACTCTCAGTGTTGTTTTAATTTGCATTTTTCTAATGCAGGCCCTACCCCTTAAAGATTTCAGTACCCCTCAAGAGTGCAACGCTATCATGGGATCTTTGGGGGAACTCAACATTTTAGCTATAGCAGAGCCTAAGCCTTAGGAATCCATAATATCTGAAAGTGATTTTTGGAGTAGAATTGTTAGGGAACAGACAGCTTTTCATCAAGAGGTAATAGTTTATTGGCAATGAAGTTAAGGGTGGAATATAGGAAGAGAGTGGTAGCTATCACCTGCTCAGTTTATCACATGGCAAGTTGGAGGAGTGGTCAGTTGCCAGGCAGGGGCCCTCTACACAGAATTGGGAAGTTCACAGGGCAAAGGTTTAACCATTCTTAGGGAATATGTGTGTGGAGACTTTGTTTTCTTATTGCAATTTCCAAACAAGAGCATTTATTTATTTATTCATTTATTTATTGAGACAGGGTCTCACTGTGTAGTCCAGGCTGGCTTTGAACTCACTATGCAGCCCAAGCAGGCCTTACACTCAGCCTCTTAAGTGCTGGGATTACAGGCGTGTACCACCAGATCTGACCAGGAGCTTTTACATGGGGACTGGTAAGAGAGAAATGATCAAAATATAGCCAAAGTGAATGTCTTTGGCATTTCTATCTTCTTTGGGTCATGGGATCCATTCTTCTCAGCATGACACCTCCAAATCCCCATTACAAGTTTTTTCTAGTTCAGCTGAGAACAGCTTATTACTGTTGAATGAATATTGTTACAGACTTTGTGAAAGAAAACAAACTCTTTAAAGCATTTTTCACCAGTACAGAAAGTATCTAACAGTGACATTAATTTCCTGCCTCCCTCCTGTCTGCAGACTGAAATCAGGGTCTCCCACATATAGCACCACCAGCAAGTGCTCTACCAGGGAGCTACATTGCAGCACTTTGTAAACTTTGAGACAGGGTCTCACTAAATTGCACAAGCTGGCCTTGAATTTACCATCCTGCCTCAGCCTGCCAAGTAGCTGGGATTACAGGTATGTGCTCTCATACCTGACCTCTGTTTCATTTATTTATCCATCCCAACATATCATTACAGAATGGTCACCATGTGTAAACTACTTTGTCATGTGCTAGAGATACTCTGGATGAGAACATCAACATGTTCCTAATGGAGCTTACAGCTTGGCAGGAAAAGTCATGCTACAAAGCTGTGTCAGATGTCACTTCTAGTCCCTTCAACTTTCTGCTCTAGTAAAACTGTCTCTTTTCGGTAGACAGAAGGGAACAGGGGAATGCGGAGAGAAAGAATGACTATGAATGAGCACTTTCGCTCTGAGTGCAAGAGCCCAGGCTGACAGTTGTTTTCATGAGCACCGAAGCCTGTTGCTTAAGCAAGAGAGTGACAATAAAACAGGGGAAAGAAAAGAGAAGAAAACAGTGGGAGCAAAGGAAGGAGAAAGAAAAGACAAGAAGATGCTGACGGAGGGCCATGGGAGAGTGTCAGTTGGGATCTTAGTGGACTTCTGCTCTGGCTCCCACTGTAGATACTGCACAGCCTTTGACAGACATTACTACTTCGAGGTGCCCGCTGACAGGGAGGGTGTGCTGTCGGCCTTGGGCGTGGTAACATGCCCAACTCTGAGCCAGGTTCCTTAGTAGTGCACAGTCTTGGAAACAGATGTTGTGGGTTTAGTTTGTATTTCTAACAGCAAGTATAGTCATGCAGGCATAATAACAGTCTGAGGGGGGTCCATGAGATGATGCTGGAGTTGAAAAATACCTATGCCTAGTGACCTTCTAAGTGTCAAATCTTATAGCACAACCCATTACTCACGTGTTTGTGTTGGTGGTATAAACACACCTACAGTGCTGCCTGTCTTTTAAAGGTATTGCACATACAATTATGCATAGTATGTAATACCTGATAATCACACTAGGTGATTTATGTATTTACTATACAGAACTTTTTATCATTATTTTAGGGTGCGCTCCTACTTATAAAAATTACTGTAACACCATATGCTCATATTATTTCATGTTTACCATGTCTCTCAGTTGCATCATTTTCTCTTGTGCTTAAGGTTTTGTTCATTATTTTCTTATGGCCCTGGGAACAATGGGCCACGTACAGTCTCTCTGTGCCACAGACTATGTGTGTGGCAAGTGGTACCATCCGGATGTGTGTGAGCCCTATGAAATGTTCAGTCATCTAATCCCGAATTCCTGGGACGTGCCTCAACCCTAAAGTGGTTTATGGCTCTACCCCATCATTTGATTTTTCTCAGATCACAGAGCCACGAGCTGACAGTCTCCAAAAGATGGGAAACAGCATGGAAGTAGTAGGGATGCTGAGGTCAGGCAGGCTGACCTTGTTGTCCTTGGGGGTCAACAAGGAGGCCAGGGAAGATCAGTCAGCCCGCATCCAACCTGTCAGAACCAGGCAGAGATGCTGAATGAAGTTTCCTTTTCTGAAAGCAGCTTTTGTTTTCATTTTATGGGGAAACTGGAACAGTCCTGGGAAAATGGGACAGGTGTCCCTAGTCAAGAGACAAGGCTATTTACTCAACTTGCATAGGACCCCTAAGGGAAAGAGAGTCTTGGTAGAAAGAAAAACTAAAATTTTCCTATCACGAGGCCATCACTGCCAGTTGGGGACTAGGGGACCAACACATGGGGTGTCCTCTGACTGGTGGAGCCTGGAGGGCATGGGTCGGAAGGCCACTGTTCTCCCTGGAGATGGGAGGTCCGAGGGAATTCTCTGGGTTTTCACCAGCCTCTAGGTGTTTTGAGGTATATGCCCTGCCCCAGGTATCCCACCAAGGGAGCTGCGGGGGCGGTAAAGGAGAGGCAACTCTCCTCCAAAGGAGGTGTGGGGCTGACACCTACACTTTCTACAGAGTCTCTGGATCGGCCGGCAGCAGAGTGCAGAGAGGTGAGGGGAGGAGCCCGGAAGGGCCCCGCGTGAGCCGGAGCAGGGCAGCCCGAGCCGTCAGCATCCTCCAGGCCCGGGAGCCCTGGAACCTCCGGGAGTTCAGTTTCCCGAGGCACGCGAGGTAGCAGCTGGCTCGTCCTGCGCGTGCCCGAGCCCAGGGCTCCCTTGCTGCCTCCTCGGCGGTCCCGAAACTGACGTGAGGCCCATTTTGGTGCAATGCGAATTAGCTCCAGCCGCCGAGTCGGAAGGGGGCTCCCCTTCTCTGGGCACGCTCGCGGGGACCCGGGTGTGAGACCTGAGTCCACGCCCACCGACCTTAATCCCTGTGCGGCCCATCGCCATAACAACCGGCCCCGGCTAGCCCAGCCCCGAGGGCCCGAGACTAGGAAGGCGCCCCGCCCCAGGCGCCCCGCATCCGGCAGCCGCGCGCCCCCGCCCTGCGCGGCGCCTACCAGCGCCAAGCAGAGGCGCCCCCTCCCGCCGGAGGAGGGAAAGCCCGGGCGCCCCCCGCCTGCACTTTGTAATTAAGCTCCCCAAGAGCCAGGGCTCCCCCGCGCCCGGCGCCCGGCACCTGTCCGGGTCCCTTGCACCTGCCCTCGCCCGGCTCCAAGGCGCGCGGCCGTCGCAAAGCGTGGCGGGGTGGCCAGGGCTGCTCCCCGTGCCCGCGCGGGCTCCCGGGGAGGGGCGCAGGACATCCCCGAAGGCGGCCGCGCGGGAGGCGGGAGGCGGGAGGCGGCTGGGACGCGCGGGAGGGCGGGGAGCCCGCGGGAGGAGGCGGGCGCGGGGAGGGCGCAGGAGGCGGCAAGAAAGTAGCAGAAAGTGAGGCTGTCAGGCAGAGGAGCCCGGGAGCGGCGGCGGCAGGAAGTCTGTGCCCGAGCCCGGCAGAAATAAGAGCTAGGGAGGGACCGCGGCGGCAGCAGCGGCGGCGCCGGCGAGAGCGAAAGAGGAAACTGCAGAAGAGGAAACGCTGCGGCAGCCCCGCGCCCGCGGCCC